CCTCTACTGAAGTACTCCCTCAACTCAAGAACAGTTTGTTCTATTGACCTGGCATTCCATGATGCTTACCTTCCCAAAACAAGAATGCTGAAGACAAAGTGGGTGCATAAGCAAATGTGGTGAAGAAAGTTGATCGTGCCTGGCTATCAAAAGATATAGCATCTGGGGTCTTAAAAGCTTGAAGATAAACAAGCAACCATCTAGCTGAGAAGCAACAAAGTCCACATAGAATAAGTGCACTAGCCTGTGTGATCATGAGGTGTCATTAGGATCAGATATGAGGCATCAGTGTACAAATGTGTCTGACACACATTGGATGTATGTGTGAATTGTGATAAGAGTTGCACGAGCCTCCAATAAAATGGTTTTTAAAAATCATGTCATTGTGAATGAGGGGGAGTGCAGAGTGGAGACCCAAAACTCATCTGTAGGCAATTGGATATCCCCTTACAAAAGGGTCTTGGGGAGGAGACGAGCTAGTCAGGTTGCAGTATAGCACCGATGAAACATACAACTTTCCTCTAGTTCTTTAATGCTTCCTGCCCTGACTATTGTGACCCCAATTCTACTTTTAAAATATGGCCAGACCAGAGCATGTGCACGGGTCCAGATAAAAGCTGGAAACACAGGGAATCCAGGACGGATAAACCCCTCAGGACCAATATTGAGAGTAGCCATACCAGGAGGGGAAGCAGAAGGTGGGGAGAGAAAGGGGGAACCGATCACAATGATCAACCTATAGCATCCTCCCAGGGGGATGGATAACAGAAAAGTGGGTGAAGGGAGACATTGGTCAGTGTAAGACATGAAAAAAAAATTAATAAATTATCAAGGGTTCATGAGGGAGGGAGTATGGGAGAAGAAGGGGAAAAATGAGAAGCTGATACCAAAGGCTCAAGTAGAAAGAAAATGTTTTGAAAATGATGATGGCAAAAAATGTACAAACGTGCTTGACACAATGGGTGAATGTATGGATTATGATAAGAGCTGTAAGAGCCCCCAATAAAAGTATTTTTATTTTTTTAAAAAGGCATACTTCCGGTTGAAGAGTAAAACGGATGCATGGAAGATAAATGACTTGTGCTTTTCCTTAAAATACGTATTTTTGGTTCCTCTTTTCACTCACAGGCAGGCAGTCATCTCTGGACCTGGCTGTGGTGGGGGCAGGGGAGTTCTCCGAGGAGTGCTAGAAGAGAAGTGAATGTTGCTGTGGAGTTGGGGAAGTGTGTGTGGAGGGAGGGGGGTGGGTCAGTGCCAACAAGCGGATTTTGAATACTAGCATGTGCTTGGAACAAGAGGTGTATTAACACATCAGGTTCATTGTTGTTAGCTGCTGTCAAGGCTACCCCTGACTCATGGAGACCCCATGGCCAGTGGAATAGACACACAGCCTAGCCTACGCCATCTCCATGATCCGTTTCAGATCAGACCACTGTGGCCACCAGCTCCTTTGGGGAAGTTGGCCACCAAGCCCTTCTTCCCGGACCGTCTTAGTCTGGACACTCTGATTTTGTCAATTCAGCGTCCCAGCAACATGCGAGCTACCACTAACAGAGGGTAGTCATTGTGCATGAGCTATATTGGCCAGGAATTGAACCCGGTCCTACTGCACATAGCGTGATAGTACTGCCAATGCCCCGCTGTGCCAACTACAGTTCTGCCTTCTAACCAAAGGCTGCCAGGGTCTTCTTCAGTAAGGAAGGAACTCTGTGGTACAGTGACTGTTTCCTTTCACGACAGCAAGAGTGAGTGGCAAAGGGGTCAACATGTGAAATCGTGGTTGCCCCCCAAGGTCCCAGCTGCTACCTTCCCAGTGTTAGTGCCTCTGTTGCTAGTTGCTGCAGATCACCCAGAGGGTATCTGATTTTGACTTCTGTATAAAGCCTAAGACCACTTCTGACCAGACAAAAGTGGGGGGTGGGGGGTGGGCATCGGAGTGATGGCTCCTGAATGGGTTTGGGTGGGTAGCTCCCAGACAGAAAGGAAGAGGGTTCAGGAGACACTGACTCCTTTGATGACACAAGACAGCCATGATTTCATATCTGGATTGTCTCTTGACTGCGATCATGGGAGCCTAACCGTGTGGTCACGCTCCTGACCTCCCATGGCTTTTGTGTAGGTCATCGCACCACAGTCATCAAACTCCTTGTCGGGAGAGAGACAGCAGGGCAAACCTCAACTTACTCATCATGTCCAAACGTGGTTTCAGTCCCTTTCAACCTCACATCATCTAGCTTTTACTAAAGCTGCCTGCTGTTTTCCACAAGAGCAGTCGAGGTCTGTTGATTTATTCTTCACCTACTTCTGTGTCCTATTGAAGTGGGCCGTTGGAAGCTGTAGGGGATGGCAGCAGAGGGAAAGAAGGGGACTTAGAAGTCCGCAGAGCTTCTGCCTCTTTGCAAATGATCACAGGCCTTTCTTTGTACCCATTAAAACCTCCTACAAAAGGAACAGCTCTGAGAGGAAAAGCTGGGCCTTCCCTAGTCATTTGTCACAAGGTATTTATACAAGGCCCCCTGACTGAGGGAGCCCTGGTGGTGCAGTGGTTACATGATGGGCTGCCAACTGCTAGGTCAGCAGTTCAAAACCACTAGCCACTATGAGGGAGAAAGATGAGGCATTCTACTCCCGTAAAGAGTTACAGTCTTGGAAGCCCACGGGGTCGTTCTGCCCTGTCGTGCCAGGTCTCTGTGAGTCAGAATTAACTCAACGGCAGAGTTGGAGTTGGAGTGGTTTGGACCATGAATGAACTGCGTTTGCCTATCTGCTGACCTGTAGGCATCAGGCCTCTTAGAGGTGTTTTGTCGCAACACTGAATGCTTAGAATAGAGGCCTGAAGGTTCAGCAATTATGTTTCATTTCCATAGGAATTTTATCTTTTCTCTGGCTGGTAGAAGGTAGAGGTCCGCAGCAGACACGTGGGTGTCCTTCCACTTCTCACCACCGCTTGGGTGGAAGCTACTTCTTTGAAGGGGCAAGCGGAGGCAGAGAGGACGCAGGAAAAGCTCACCAAGGGGTGTGGCTGCAAAGCCCGATGCCCCACATGC